GCTATGGGTCGAAACCGACTCGACGGCACTTAACAACAACAACAACAACCATGGTACCTTTAACATTCTTCACTAGTCCTTCTATGGTCTTCCTTTATTCACTGTCCAGCTTTCACATGCAATATGAGCTATAGAAAATAGCATGCTGGGTCAGGCGCACCTTAGTTCTTAAACTGATGAATTTGCTCTTCAACAGTTTAAAGAGGTCTTGTGCAGCAATTTCCTAATGCAATACGTCATTTGATGTCTTGACGGCTGCTTCCATGAGAGTTGATTGTGGATCCAAGCAAAAGGAAGTCTTTGACAACTTCAATCTTCTGTCCAATCATCATGATGTTATCCATTGTTCCAGTTGTGAACATTTTTGTTTTCTTTACAGTGAGGGGCAACCCATACTGAAGGTCTCTGATTTGCATCTGTAAGTAATTTAAGTCCTCTTTGTGTCCATCAAGCAAGGTTGTTATCATCTGCATATCATGGGTTGTTAATGAGTCTTCCTCCAATCCTGATGCCACATTCTTCTTCATAGAATCCAGCTTCTTGGGTTATCTGCTCAGCACACAGATTGAATTTACTAGATTCAGACTTCGTATACTAAATGTTCTGATTATGAATGGATGTTGACAGCTCTTTCTCCTCATTTTGAGTTGTGCCCCATCAGCAAATGAAGGTTCTGAAAGCTTTCCTCCATTCCTGTCATCACAGTCAACTCTACTCTGAGGAGGCAGCTTTCCCCTGTCTTATTTTGAATGCCTTCCAACCTGAGGGGCTCATCTTCCAGCACTGTATCTAACAATATGCTAGTGCTCTTCATCATGTTTTAATATTCAATATTCTGGTGCTATCTGACAGTGTTCCACTGCTATTCGTAATGTTTTCAGTGGCTAGACATTCAGAAGTCGTCTGCCTCTCCTCCTTCCTAGTCTGGCAGCTCAGCTGACACCTGTTCACACTGGATGGACAATGCTGGTATTTAAAGTACTTGAGAGCAGACCTTCCAGCATCACAGCCCCACTCAAGTCACCACAGTACGACAACTGACTGGTTGTTCTCCAATGTACTGTGTGGTCTTTGTTGTTAAGTGCTGTCGAGTGGGTTCCGACTTACAGCCACACTGTTTAGGGTTTCTGAGGAGTGACTGGTGAGTCTGGTGATGTTGAACGTCCGACCTTGCAATCTCCAGCACCTACCCTACAGCATCACAACATCAAGGAGCTAAAGTGGGGTTTTTAAGCCGTTTTTAACATGTTGCTCGCTCCTCTGCTTCAGTACAGGTTTCTAGCCTTGGGGACTCTATGGGCGCAGTTGGAATCTGCCCTATGAGGTTGCTATGAGTCAGCAGTGATGCGACAGTTATGGGTTTGGGTTTTTCTTTTCGAGTCTTTACAGAAGCAGATGGATAGGCCTTTCTCCCACGGAGCTACTGGGTGGATTTGAACCACCAACCTTTTGGTTAGCAGCCAAGAGCTTAACC